CTTGATTGGTCAAGATGTTCCACATGCATTGACGCTGCTTAAATGTAGAGCGGGGATAAACGGGACCCCAATTGCGGTTAGGACACATCTCATGGGACCATCAATGATCCCGTGGGATACAACGAATCCGGACTATATTTGACGAAGTGTGCGACTGCCACAACCGCTATCATTACTGACACACGTATGGAGGCACAAGTTCAGGGAAACAGAACCTGATTGATTTAAGGAAGATGGCGACATTGCATTATCAGTGGAAGATTGAAGAGTTCTAGAGCTGTAGTCGTTCACCAACACTAAGGCCGCTGGGTTGTATCAGCGCCCCATACCTTTCCGCAATGATCATCCAAACTTTCCCAACAATAAAACCCTGGTGGAGTGGCGCCTAATTGGACTAAAACAGGGACTAATGAGGGACCGAAATCTTCATCACAAATATACGGAGGAAATATATACGCCAACTATTGAGTAAAGGTTATACAAAGTTACCACGTCCTGCCAGTTAATCCTGGCAGGACGTGGTACTTCCCCCATCATTCAGTATTGAATCCTGACATGCCGGGGTTAGGTCCGAATTGTCTTTGACTGTGCTGCCCTCAGTGGTACCATATCGCTAAACAGTCAAGTGCCGGGAGGTCCGGACCACAACAACAAACTTTTGGGAGAACTTATTCAGTTCCGCCGGGGACAAATTGCTCTCATGGCCGATATTGAGGCGATGTTCTAACAAGGTAAGTCCCGCCTGAACATCAACAGGTCCTACTGTTTCTTTGGTGGGACGATGGAGATTTGTCACATGTGCTCACATACCAGGTGAAGGTACATATTTTGGAGGAGTCTGGAGCCATCATGTGCGGCATATGCTCTGCAGAGAACTTTTTGTGATCGTGGAGCATCTTTCTCCATATCAACTGCCCACGCTAAACGCAATTTCTATGTGGATGATTTCTGCTTTCGGTGTCTTCCTCTGAGGAAGCCGCAAAGACTACTCTGCAGCTATGGAAATTGCTGTCTCTTGAAGGCATCATGTTGACGAAGTGGATAAGTAATCAGAAAAGTGTTCTAAGTTCTGTACCCTGGGAGGAGCGATACGTGGGAGTAAAGTGGACTTAAGCCAAGAAACCCTGCCTACGGAACGTGCTCTGGGAGTTGTGTGGGACCTGGAACGAGATAAGTTTTCTGATAAGGTCTGTGTACAAACTAAGCCCGTTACGAAGAACGGCCTGTTGAGCGTTGTTAGTTCAGTCTATGATCCACTTAGTTTCATTTCCCCTTTACTCATTAAGGCGAAGATCATCTTTCAAGACAAATGTTGACGAAGGAGAGGGTGGGATGAAACCCTAGTTGAACATAATAGCCTTGCCTGGCAACAGTGGCTGGAGAACTTGACACGGCTTTCCGATTTTCGGATTCCCCGTCGTTACGGGTCATATGCTCTAGAACAGGCTCTTTCAATACAACTGCATCATTTTTGCGATGACCAACAGATGGCTTATGGTATGGTTTCATACTTGCGGATGGTTGACAAGTCTGGAAACATCCAGTGCACCTTTGTGTAGGGAAGAGAAAGACTGGCACCCCTGAAACGGCACACCATCCCTCGGCTGGAACTCTGTGCAGCCGTATTAGCCGCAAATTCCGACAAATTAATAAGAAAAGAGCTGAGCATGAAGTTTGAAAGGTCAGTGTTTTGGACCGACAGTATGTTTTTCCTCCAATATATTTCCAATACCCATTGGTGCTTCCATACATTCGTTGCAAATAGAATCGCTGCCATACAGGAGTTGTCGAATGCAAATCACTGGCATCATATGGGCACAGATTTAAACCCAGTTGATGATGCAACCCAAGGGCTATCAGCTGAAGAAATGCACGAGAGGGGGGAGGGGAGGTGGATACAGGGACCTGGATTCCTTTGGCAGTCTGAAGAAAATCAAAAGCTGGCGCATGAACTGATAGACGATCCGGAGGTAAAATAGAGCGTGACCACATTGATCACAAACATCGACAAAGAAGAGGAGTCCATGCAAAGGCTTTGGTCTAGATATTCTTCATGGCATCGGTTGCAAAGGGGGATAGACTGCTTCGGACGCTTCCTCGTTAAACAGGAGAGGAATCATCATAAGCTTGACCACACGAGCCATATACCTCGAAATGTTGTCCTCACTTGATACCGACGCCTTCCTAAATGCAGTGAGACGGCTGCCGGTTCTCAGGGGAATTCCTGAACGCATTCATTCTGACATTGGAACCAACATGGTCATTGCCGACAAGGAGCTCTGAGCAGCAGCACGGAGCTGGGAGAATAGTGAATACGTAAAAAACACTTTCCTAAGGAAACAGATAGAATGGGTGTTCAATCCTCTCGCAGCTTCACAAATGGGAGGGGTGTGGGAACGACAAATTCGAATTGTACGTAAAGTCCTCAGGGCAATTGTGGCTCACAGGTCCTAGACGACGAATGGCTCCTTATACTATTTTGTGAAGCGGAAGCAGTGGTGTACTGACGGCTTATTACGCCAGTCTCAGAAGATGCCAGGGACCTAGAGGCCCTCACACCCTCACATTTTTTGCCCATGAAGCAGAGCACCGATCTCCCTCTGGGAGGCTTTAGTATTGGGAAAGTATACCACAGACGGTGGAAACATGAGCAGTTCTTGGTGGATCAGTTCTGGAAGCGTTGGCTCAAGGAATACCTACCTCTGCCCCGTCAGCTGCAGAAACACCTCAAACCTCGTCACAACTTTCAACAAAACGACCTGGTCATTGTGACTGGAGAACCACTGCCGAGGAACCAATGGCACCTAGGTAGAATAGTAGAGGCGATGCCTAGCGATGATGGACTAGTACGTCGGGTTAAGTTAAAGACTGTACGCACCATTTTGATTCGCCTAGTGACCAAATTGTGTCTACCGGAAGGGGGTGCAAATTAATAATTCCCTGACATTTGTTGTCTTGGGCGTGATCGCCAAATGGAGGGAGTGTTATCACTTCGCTAGGCAGCGGCCAGTATGGGAGTAGGAAGAGGAGTGTTGTTTGTTGTAACAAGAGAACAGGCGCTGATTCAGTCCTACTATAATGAAGCCAGGGGGTAGACTATGCTGATTCAGCTTGATGTACTTACCCGGGTCTTGAGGCGCTAACATATAACCACCAGTACCTCTCAACTGATCGCCCTAAACACACCGAGGCTTTCTGCTCTGAGCCAGACCTGCAACACCTAAGTGTACTCGTAAACCTATTATGTTTCATTGTGGACGTGAAGAATATTAATTGAGCAACTTCTGATGATATGCAGCTTATATTGTGTTACTATTAAGATAATGTACTCATTTGTGTGCTAATATTAAGAAAATGTATTCATATATGATGTCACTGAACCTTCAGTTCCCTCTTGGAAATTGATTATTTGTATTTGACAGATTTGACCGAAATAAACTGTATCGAGTTGACGTGGCAGGTTAATATACATACATACATACATATACATATATATCATGTGCCCATACAGCATTCGGACTTCAATATACAAGCAATACCTCAATAGGAAGGATTCGAACCATGGACCTCTGCGTGTGATACAAAGCCATGAACCTCCATTGGGGATTGCCCGTGCCAACTATGTGGTCGGAGTAGCATTTTACCGAATCCAGCTACGAAACGAGAGGTTACATATACTGTATATCACATCAGTCCAAATAGCACGCGGACTTCAATATGGGTTAGGTTAGGTTAGGCAATCCCCAGTGAAGGCTGAAGGCGCTGATGGTAGCACGATAGAACAGGCTTTGTGTGAAATATAACAAAGTCTATTATTGGTTATATTGTCCTTGTGGCGCCGTGGTGGCGATCCTTGGTCACCGACAGAGGTCCTGGGTTCGAATCTTTGCTAGTGAGGTATTGATTTATATATATATATATATATATATATATATATATATATATATATATATATATATTTATATATATATATATATATATATATATATATATATATATATATATATATATATATATATATATATATATATATATGGAAGTTCGCATGTTATATACTGTATATAGTATTGCACACTACCTTTCCATAACATAACTGCTGTGTGTTCTACACCACACTAGAGGAATGATTAAGTATTTTCTTCCGAAATAACACTGATGAGTGTGAGTGATAGCGCGAGTTTCTTATTTGTCTTTGTCCAGTTATGTTGTGAAAAGATTATAGGAGAAAGCGTGCTAGTAATTTACATTATATTCTTGTGGAATTTCCTATGATGTTGATCCCACAATCAGAATTCTGTCATTCTGGATACTAGACGCGTATAATAATATTGAATACCGTGAAAATGTCTCACAATTCCTTAAAAAATTATCACAAAAAACACATGATTTGTGACGAATGCAGCGGAATATGCTATACAGTATATGATAGGATTAAGAAGCTATGCTAGTTTATTCTAAGAACTTAATGAGTTAAATTTAAGATATAAGATCCTGGCCGGAAATAAGGAACAAACTTAACGTAAACCTACTGACTTAAGAAGAAAAGGCCAAGAAAAAGAAGGTGTATATATATATATATATATATATATATATATATATATATATATATATATATATATATATATATATATATATATATATATATATATATATATAGGTTAAAAGAACGCACTTGGAAGATAAAATATAGTAAAGCGAAATAAAGAAAATTTATTAAAACTACTTTAAATACTTAACTATAATGTACATGCTCAAAGAACAAGATTAATATGAATATTAAAGGGTGTAAATTTACTTATTCAAAAGTTAGTACATGTAAATAACAAGTTTTCTCCGTTTTCAATTTATAAATAAAGCGGCTATGTGATCCTAGCGGCAGTGTGGAAATGAAAAGTGGATATACATGTAAAGAGCATCGAGAAGTGCGTGCGTGAGTTGCCTAACGCCAGGTAATGACGAGTATATAAAAGGAGTTGCTGGCTAAGTTTACATTCACTTCGACTTCCGCCGTCTACAATGTGGCTGATACAGGTACGCTCCTCTTTCCACGCAGAAAACTCGTGCAATTATAATTATCGTTATAATTAATATTTATATTACTGTTGGATCAAAAGAATGGATACAACGTACAACCAGTGATCAACCAGCTCATTCTCGCGAGCCTATAACAGTTCTCAGAGTCAGTCACGTCAACCCCCGAGTCTGAAGCAAATACTGGACAACCGAGGGCGTTAGACACTTGGCTTGACTCACGTGGCATAAACAAAATGAAAATATTGTTATACTACCAGTACTAGTTCACACATCAAGCTGGTGAAGATATTGTTATGCTGCTAGTGCTAGTTCTCGCAACTAGCTGGTGAATGTAATGTTATAGTACTAGTACACCCACTCTCACAACAAGTTGGTGATGGCATGATTATATTACTAGTGCTGGTTTTGCCAACCAACTGGTGAAGGTATTATTATACAACTAGGACTAGCTCTCACAACTAGCTGATGAGGATATTGTTAAATAGTTAGTCATGTATCACGCACACAGAGCCGTCTCGAAGGGGGGTGACGAGTTGCCCCAGACCTCGCGCTCTCCAAATGGATAGGAGTCATTGAAAAGGTGTTCAATGACTACCTTAGATACACGCATGTTACAAGACTTGAATAAAGAAAATGAACATTGGCGATCGGTTCTAACACGTATTATAGCAGCTGTGTAGTACCTAGATGAGCACAAGTCTGCTTTGAATAAGTCATTGAGTGCTAGAAAGCTCACGATATTGACGAAGTCGAGTTGTTTTCAGAGCTTCGAGTACTCCGAGAACTCATTGCCAAAGACACAAAAAATACACGTCAAGTCCTTCAGTTTCAAAACTCTCTCAATGGTTCCTTCCCTAATGCAGAAATCGCGTTTCGGATTTTGTTCACAGTCAAAGTGGCATCAGGGAGCGAAATTTTTCTAAACTCAAATTGATAAAAAAAAACTATCTAAGGATATCTATGTCTCAAGAGAAGTTGAGTAGAATACCTATGCTCTCCCTGGAAAAGGAACCGACAGTAAGTTTTTGCTGTCAGAAACTCAGAGGAGTTTGCTGGAAAGAAAGCACGGAAGGTTAATTTTCGAAAGTCGGCTGTTTCTGCTAGTACTTTGCAAATACTTTATGGGAAGTTTTGATATATTTTATTAGTTTTTAGTCAAAAATTATGTTACCATGAAGTTTTTCATTACGTCCAGACTGTCCTTTGACATTTCTCTTGTTTAGATTACAAATCAATTTAAAATAATATTTTGTTTTCTGTGTATATGCACACAATAATATCGCCAGTTCTTTAGTTTATTGTTTTTCTTTTGTATCCCCTATCGCATTATAAGTATTTTCATAACTCCTAGAACAGTTACCACAGACGGTCTAGGGGTTACATACCTTTTACATTTTTATCTATATTTTGTGTTGTTATATTGAAAAATTACTTCCTGTGTCCATTACTTTAATAAACCCAGATATACTTGTATAATTTTCACGACTGCATATTAATGTTTATATATATATATATATATATATATATATATATATATATATATATATATATATATATATATATATATATATATATATATATATATATATATATATATATATATATATATATATATATATATATATATATAGTCTGTACTCACCCCTGAAGATGTGAATTACACGAAAGCGCTTGGGAACTTCGTGTTTTCTTCTTTCCTTGTGGTTATCAGCATATACCTAGATCACGCGCACCTACAGTGATTTACTTGCATATATATATATATATATATATATATATATATATATATATATATATATATATATATATAATATATATATAGGGCAAAGGCCCTAAAGGGGGCCTGGTACTGATGACTTGCGCTGGGCCCCACACCCCCCTAGTATCTAAATAATTTAATAAGTAACTAGTTTGACTTATCTATCTAAACAATAGTTAATATAAATAAAATGATCACTATTCATTACTCACGATAAACTGGCTACTTCAGTGATTAGATGTTACTCCTCCTCCATGAGTGACATAACCTAACTTATCCACAGGCACTTGATTGCGCCACATACTTGCCAGCTTCACTACCAGGTCATCATTTCACTCAGTTGAACACAAATAGCCCATCTTAACCTAACCTAACCTAACATAACCTTACGTAACTTTCCCTTAACCTAAATTAACTTCTCTACCTAACCTAACATAACTTTAACTAATCTTACCTAGCCTAACTTAACTTTACCTAACCTAACCTCACTTAACGTAGCCTAACCTAACCTAACCTAACCTAACCTTACCTAACCTATTCTTACCTAATCTAACTTTACCTAAGCCCCATCGTAATCATGGTCATCCCATAAAATCTACTACTCGCAACAATTCATAAAAGCTACAGCGGTTGATCACAAGATATGTGTAAACGACCAACGCTCACAAAGATTTTGCGACGGAGAACCGCAAACAAAAAGAGAGTGGCGTGGCGTGGCTGTTGTGGTGGTCAAGATCCTTAAATAAATCGACGTTACATAATATCGCGGCGCTTGTAGTGAGTATATATATATATATATATATATATATATATATATATATATATATATATATATATATATATCTTGACGTTCAAGACATTCTCTGAAGATGTCTTGAATAAAGACGAAAGCTAAGGTACTGTTGTTTCATTTTCGCGTGTGATTTTATCAAGATTTATCTTATCCACGTTTTCATTGTGATTTACATGATATATATATATATATATATATATATATATATATATATATATATATATATATATATATATATATATATATATATATATATATATATATATATATCACATTACTGTTTTCCTTAATATACTGTTTCAGAAATATTGTTGCATTGTTCTCTCATTTTGTTATATAAATATAGTACCTGCGGAACTAGTCACAATTTAGGAAATATTTTCAATCAATTGCCTTTTCTTCCAACCACCAGTTTTCATGCATCTTCGGTCACACATTTTGTGCCGTAGTCTTATTTATGTCATCCAGTCTACTCTCACATCACTTGTTAGAAAAAAATAATATACGAATCTTTGAGAATTTAGTAACAGATTCTTGCCATTAATTGTTCATAAATTCCCACGTATCAGTCTGTTTAAGCAATGTCAATACCAAGGTAATTGTAGCCACTAGATGGATCGCAAGTTCATCACTTCCTAATATTTTCCCATGGTCTAGTACTTCCCTTTTGATGAGACACGATGCTTATAGTTAAACATTTCCCGGGAGTCTCAGGGATCCACCCAGGTCTCTGACTATATGCTCAACAGTTGAAGTCAACTAACTACTGTGACCTATTAGTGGCGCTCCGGCGGAGGTTTACTTGTAGTAATGTGTGCGTCGACAACAAGTTAATTTTACGCGTTGATGAATCTACAATTATACCTTCATTTGTAATCTTATAGCCCCCCCCCCCCACCCAAAAAAATTTCCTTGACCTATTCTTGTTTTCATTTCTTTCTCAAATCTGTCATCACAATATATTACCCCATTTACTCGAAAAGTTCCATCTGTTTAACTACCCGCCATGATTTGTTACAGTATTTATCTTTAAATTGGAAAGAATAATTAATCCCCACTGTATAGCATTAGCTGCAAGTTCATATTCTTCACCTTTTTCGACAATCTAGTGACCAGGTTTTGTAATGCCTTTTCACCATTGATAATTATTGGATTAGCATCATCCGAATACTAAGTACCAGACGTTACTACAGTATATGATCTGCATCTAGTCCTCCATCGCGGCTCACAAGGTTGATAATAATACCATGTTATGTTGAAAATGTGGCCTTTAACTCCCTGTTCGGCCTTAATCAAACTAGTGAGTTCTTTACTTAATACTACAGCAGTTTTCTGATTCCTGTAAGCATTTTTTCTCTTCACAATCTTACACTCTAATACACCAAATGTTTTACCGTAACACAGAAGTTTTGAGTGTCCTCTCTATATGTTCCAGGTGATAGTTGCGTGTTGTGCGGTAGGTGCTGCTCTAGGGGTGTCTGGTGCCACACCTGACGCCTTAGCTGAGCCGGAACCCGACCCCAGCATCGGGTATTCCTACGAGTCTCCACCCCAGCCTTTCGGGCTTCCAGGCGAAGACCCAGGCCAAGGCCCACTAGATTACACGGAGCCACAGTCGGGCTATCTCCCTCCCAGGGGCTACGTCCCTGATAGCACTGACTCAGATATTGGGTACGGTTTACCTGATCTTGACCCTGCCTATGGGCTACCAACATCTGAGCCTCCCTATGGTCCACATACACCTCAACCTTATGGTCCACCAGCATCAGGACCATCCTATGATCCACCTGCGGCAAGACCTTCCTATGGCCCCTCTACACCAGAGCCTTCCTATGGTCCACCAACAGCTAGACCTTCCTATGGTCCACCAACATCAGGACCTTCCTATGGTCCATCAACATCAGGACCTTCCTATGGTCCACCAACATCAGGACCTTCCTATGGTCCATCTACACTAGACCTTCCTATGGTCCACATAGACCTTCCTATGTCCACCAACATCAGGACCTTCCTATGGTCCACCAACATCAGGACCTTCCTATGGTCCATCTACACCAAGACCTTCCTATGGTCCATCTACACCTAGACCTTCCTATGGCCCACCTACACCTAGACCTTCCCTTCCTATGGTCCACCAACATCAGGACCTTCCTATGGTCCACCAACATCAGGACCTTCCTATGGTCCACCAACATCAGGACCTTCCTATGGTCCATCTACACCTAGACCTTCCTATGGCCCATCTACACCTAGACCTTCCTATGGTCCACCAACATCAGGACCTTCCTATGGTCCATCTACACCTAGACCTTCCTATGGTCCACCAACATCACGACCTTCCTATGGTCCACCAACACCTAGACCTTCCTATGGTCCACCACCAGACCTTCCTATGGTCCACCAGACCTTCGTATGGTCCACCAACATCAGGACCTTCCTATGGTCCATCCAACACCTCCTATGGTCCAGGACCTTCCTATGGTCCATCCAAGACCTTCCTATGGTCCAGACCTTCCTATGGTCCACCTAGACCTTCCCACCAACATCAGGACCTGGTCCATCTACACCCCTTCCTATGACCTTCCTATCGTCCACCAACATCAGGACCTTCCTATGGTCCACCAACATCAGGACCTTCCTATGGTCCATCAACAGCAGGACCTTCCTATCGTCCACCAACATCAGGACCTTCCTATGGTCCACGAACATCAGGACCTTCCTATGGTCCATCAACATCAGGACCTTCCTATGGTCCATCTACACCTAGACCTTCCTATGGTCCACCAACATCAGGACCTTCCTATGGTCCACCAACATCACGACCTTCCTATGGTCCACCAACATCAGGACCTTCCTATGGTCCACCAACATCAGGACCTTCCTATGGTCCATCAACATCAGGACCTTCCTATGGTCCATCTACACCAGAGCCTTCCTATGGTCCACCAACATCAGGACCTTCCTATGGTCCATCTACACCTAGACCTTCCTATGGTCCATCTACACCTAGACCTTCCTATGATCCATCTACACCTAGACCTTCCTATGGCCCATCTACACCTAGACCTTCCTATGGTCCATCTACACCTGAACCTTCCTATGGCCCATCTACACCTAGACCTTCCTATGGTCCATCTACACCTGAACCTTCTTATGTCTCTCCAAATCCTGAGCCAAACCCACGGAGGCCGTCTTCTTATAGGCCGTCTTCTTATAGGCCTCCTCCTACACAAAGCCACCGTACATCTACCCCCTCCTACTCTCCTCCTTTACAAAACTACGGTACATCTACCCCCTCCTACTCTCCTCCTACACAGAGATACGGTACATCTACCCCCTCCTACTCTCCTCCTTCACAAAACTACGGTACACCTACCCCCTCCTACTCTCCTCCTACACAGAGATACGGTACATCTACCCCCTCCTACTCTCCTCCTACACAAAGATACGGTACTCCTACTCCCCCCTACTCTCCTCTTCCTAACCAGAGCTATGGAACATCCTCTGCCATTTCTGCATCCTTTGGTGCCACATCTCAGTCATCATCAGCATATCAGTCCTCGAATGAAATTGTAAATTCTGCTTTTGCGATCGGCAATCCGAGTCGTGTTTCCTCGGGCCAATCTTACGCATCAGGGACCGACATTGTTGGGGGTCCTGGTGGTCAGCTATTAATTTCCAGCAGGAATCCTGATGTCTCCTTTGGGTCTCCTGGGCTTGGGGGAGCCTCTTATGGAGAGTCCGGGTCTATTGGCGGAGGTCCACGTGGGTCCTTTGATGGACAAAATTCCCTCCTGTCGCCACAAGATGCATCACTGGAATCACGACAGCTTCCATCTGGTTATACTCCCAGGCCATCATATAATGAGGTAAGGGTTCTTAATATATTTTCTTACTTGTGGTGATATCAGACAAGTACGTAAATCTCAACTTTGTCACCGTTTCAGTACAATTAATCCATATCTACAGTGAAGGTACAGTATACAAATGTTTCTCAAATTTGTGTCATATTATAACCTACTCTTCAGCTGTTCTTTTAACAATATTTAATACTTTTTCTTATTACATAAATATATATTTTTTAAATATTTATCTTTCGGCATCACTTACAATTTAGTAATATGTTTTTGTACGACAGTACAATATATTTTTTAATTGAATAGTTTTATTCACATTGACTTCTCTGATCTTACGAAGATCAATGCAAGTTCATTGGTATTTATCATATTCTGGTCGTATACCTTGACTACTTTGAGTCATTGCTTTAATTTTCCTCTTTTATGACTACACACATTAACACTCATTTCTTCTTATGTTCACTATGTTACTTTTTAAGTCCATGTGATGGGATTCTGAGGCAGGAAAGACTTTTCAGTTATAAATTCTATATCTTACTTATATCGATATATTTCCTTTATCTTAAATCTTTTTTCTTTGGTAAACGTTATGGAAGACTAACTTTAATGTGCTGGGAGGCCTTAGCAACATTAGAAAAATCCAACGTTGTACATACAGTACGTACATCGATGGATTGTTGAAGAACTGTACTACCTGTGTTATATGATCAGTAATGGAGGTGGTGATGAAGTTAACTCAGTTACTGGAAGAAGTTTTAGGAGTTGTTGCCATTATTGACGGCAAGAAATATTCTTCTTGTGCAAAATGAATTATAAATGCTACATACGTAAGAGTGATGTTGTATGACAGCAAAACATGAACAGTCAAAGAAGATAACATACCCAGGCTTGAGCAAATTAGAATGGGAATGGTGAGTGGTTGTGTAATGTGACATTGACCAATATAAAAGTTTTCAGTGCTATGGGGGCGGCTGGGTATTGAGAGAATTGACGAGGTTTTGATTAAAGACAGAGTGAGATTATTCGGGGACGTGGAAAGAATGGATAAGACTAAATGAACCAAGAAATATATTAGTTTGAATGTGTCGGGGTCAGCGAAGAATGACATGGTTGTAAAGAATGTCCTTTCAGCGTGGATATCTAACAATAGGTAACCCTGGCTACCCCAGGGAAGTGTGGATAACAGTCGTAAAACGATGATGATGATGATGATGATGATTTACCATTTTATAATTATAGTCTTATTATGTATATCAATATTGTTAGCCCTTTTCCTTCTTATTCATGTCACCCAATAATAGTGCTCGAATAACTATTGTTTTTTAGTTGTAGTTTCATCTCTCGATTTCCGACTGATTTTCCTCAGTTTATGCATACTACATTTTTCGGTATTTACTACTTTCATGAAGTCTTTACTTTCACAATATGACTGATTCTAATGTTCATTTTTCTTGTGCTATGAATGTTTCGGATCTAGTTCTTCCTCCGCCCACAGAAGGGAATGCCATTCAACTTCGCTTACGCTGTGAACGACGAGTACAGCGGAAACATCTACAGCCACAATGAGAACTCTGATGGTCTGGTGACGAACGGCCAGTACACAGTGTTGCTCCCTGACGGCCGCACCCAGGTCGTCACCTTCACCGCCGACAATGACCTTGGCTATCTGGCCCAGGTCACTTACGAGGGCCAGGCCACCTACACCGCTCCACAACCTGTTACTTATAATTAACAACCTGAATCTACCGCTTCCCATAAGTGTATATCTTTTCGCAACTTTTAAAAAGGCGTTAAGTGATGCTGTAAAAACTCCTTTCATGGAAAAGGCCAATTTTACTGTTTAGGCTTTGCTGGATACACTTAACTTTTTATCATGTTATGGGTATTCAGAATTTTTCACGTAAAATATGAGTTTGATCATGAATAAGATGTGTATTGCTTTTGAAGTGTACTGTGATCCAAAGCTGTTATTTTGTTTGCAGGCAACAGAATCTATGATTGTAATACACGCGTTATCTCCTGCACCCACCCACTACCAATGTAAATGAAAATTGTGGAATACAGTACTACTTACAGAACTGGGTGAACATAGTATTATGATTCCTTCTAATTTCCCCTCCCACCTCATCATTGCTCTCTGCCTTACCACTCTTTCTTTATATTGTTGTTAATGTATAATTTGGTCCAATATTGTCGATTATATGATACTATAATATATTACAGTCATTCACTGATGTACTAAGTATAATCACAATATTTGGAGGGAATAAATTGTTCATAGAACAATCAAGTTGTTTCTCCTCATTTTCAGAACCCCGAAAATTTGTAAACACAGACATCAGTAATTTCCCTGTGATCTCAGAATTTTGGTTTAGACCTTTCAAGACTAAAAATTCATTTATGAATTTTCAGGTCTGTTGGGAGGGAGAGGTCAACCGACTAATTTGGGGTTCAGGTAGGGGAGTCACCTCACCTCAGGCTATTACCTCGACCTCTAATACACTATAAGTGAAGACTGTAAAGCAGTTTTAACAGATGAACAAGGCCAAGTTTACATCACTGATCACTGATCAATCTAGCACTGGCTATTGTAACTCTTAGTGTTCCGGGGAGTGTGTACAGCTATGGGGGTTAATAATGAGGCCTCAAAGATGTCAGAGTATAATAGATGCTTCTCATATTTGAAGTAAATATTAAGAAACAGTATCTGGATATAATAAACGAGCCTGATGTCAAAGAAAATTCCCCCTTCCCAAAAATAAATAAAAAAGCAAAGTGTGTGTGTATGTAATTAGTCACGGAAAAAATACAATTATAATAATTTGGCAGTTTGTATACGGGTACTACTTGGTAAATATGTCCATATTTTAAGGTAAGATTAACCCTTAATCACCTGTAGAATTCAACCCATTAAAAATGCTGTACTTATACGAACAGAGACTAAAAAAAAATTCTAGAAGCTGAGCAAAAACTCATCTGGAAATTTACCCCCAGCTTAATCAATCTGAGGCTAACTAGGAAACTAATCATTAGGTGACGGTGAAACTCGGTACTTTCTTGAAGATACGACACTCCAGAATAAAAGAATGAACAATAAAATTATTTATGTAGCATGTGTATTCACTCATAGGAGCGATTTTGGTTTGTGCAGGACAATAAGACCCTTGTCATTGACGCTATGAGTATAATTCGGTCAAAACCTGTTGAATACAATTCACATATAACAACTG